TGATTCCCAGTCAGGGCACATGCCTGGGTTGCAGGCCAGTTCCCAGCAGGGGCCAGTTCCCAGCAGGGGATGCACCAAAAAAGCAACCATACATTGATGTTTCTCTCCTTCTCTCCTTCCCTTCCCCTCTAAAAAATAAATGAATAAAATCTTTAAAAAAAAAAACCACAGACATGGAAAATGTCAGAGAAAAGAACAAATTCAGTTTGGGAGGTCCAACACCCCACTAATAAAATTATCAGAAAGAGAGCAGAGGAAAAGGAGGGGAGAGAGCAGCTAAAGAAGAGGTAATGGAGAATTTTCTCAGGATGAGGACACAAGCTTCCAGTGTGGCCAGCCACACACTGACATGGAAGAGGAACCCCCCAAGATCTCCTCAAACACCAGGAGGGGAACTGCCATTTTCCAATAACAGACCTTTTGGTGCCCTTCTCCCCGAGTACGGCATGCATGCATTCCGTTGTTTAGAAAACAAAAACCAAAACTTTTCATCTGAATGTTTTCTCCCCAGTAGGCAGCATGCCCAGATGCAAACAACATGCACACATCAAAATAAAACCGAGCACATAAACTCTCGATGGTAAATAGGTCGGAAGGTCATATCTCCGCATACCCTAATCTCAAAGGCCTTTGGGGTCAACCTTGAACAAATGCCTAGCCTGGCGTTCTATACCCTCCCCATTTCCTACCTGCTTCTTCTCTTGGCCACACTCTGAGCTCAATGGAACTGGCTCCAAACTACAAAAAGAGTGTGGAGAGATACCAATCCCTCTTAACTTTACCCTTTACAAAAAAAAAAAAAAATCTGGGGAGGGAATGTGCTCCCCACCACAAGAGACCCTGTGTTGGGCCTGGGAGCCCACAGCCACCACTGCCTCTTGTCACCATGACCTCTTCCACTCCATTCATTGTCCCTTTCTTTTTCAAAGCACTTGTTATCATTTTACTTTTTTTCCCTCTCTCTAGCTCCAGGACAGCCATCTGTTCACTTCCTTCTCAACAGGGGTGAAGAATGCCAGATACATCTAGGAGCTTGTTATGGGCTGGCTGAAATGTGTCCCCTGAAAGTCATATGTTGAAGTCCTAATTCCCAACACCTCAGAATATGACTCTATTTGGAGACAGAGCCTTTAAAGTCACTAGACCTCTATTAAAATGAGGTCACTAGTGTGGCTCAGTTGGCTGGAGCGTTGTCTGTAAACAAAGGGTTGTGGGTTCGATCCCTGGTTGGGGCAGGTACAGGAGGCAGATGATCGATGTTCTCTCTCACTTCTCTCTCTCTCCCCTCCTTCCCTACCTCCTCTTAAAAAAAAAAAAAAAAAAAAAAAACCTAGGCCCCCTAGAGTGGGCTGAAGTCCAATGTGACCTGATGTTTCCCAGCACCCACCAGGGAACATTCTTATCCTGCCCCTGATGGAGCAGCCCCTGCCCCTACATGGCAGCTCCAGTGTTCACACTCTCTGGCTTCTCCGTCACCCCTCCCACCTACACCAGTGGCAACCTCTGGGGAGGGCTGGATTTGGGAGCTCAGCTGTAGTCTCTTGCAGGAAGACAGGCCTGGATTGGGGGATGCACCCTCCCTGATCCTTGAGTGCTCTCTGCTCCTAGGAGCTCCCTCCAAAAATGCCCTTGCTCAACCCTCTTCAGCTCAGGCTGAATGTGGGATGATAATCAGAAGAGTTTGGGGTCTTGTCCTTAGCTGTTGTCCCAGACATTCCACAGGCTGCTACACTTTTAGAACGAAACCAAAGCCCTTGGCAGGGAAAAAGGCAGACTCAGATGTTTTGTTTGCTTTTAAGAGAATTTAACGAAGGGACTATTTACTTGAGTGTGGGCATTAAGGAGCCAGGCACGGGGTGTTGGGGCACCTGAGACTAGCAATGGGGGGTGGGGCGCCCACACTCTCCCTGGCTGTTGAAGAGGGGAGGAAGTGCTGCTGAGGGGATAGGCAAGAGCTATAAAGGCATTGGGAGGAGGGCACAGCCATCACCAAAACCTCACACCTGGGTAGGACCAGAGCCATGGAGAAATACCCCAACCTCTCTTTTCTCCCATCTCCTGCTGGTGCCTCCCACTGGCCAAATCCAGCTGGAAGCCAGTGATGCCCTGGGCACAGAGCAGGGCAGAGAAAGGTGGGGTGGAGGGAATGCAAGTGACTCAAACAAGGCCAGTGGGATGGAGCACTCTTGACCAGATAAAGTCACAGGCCTGTGCAGTGCACAGTGTGCTCCTGACATTGTCCCCATGACAAGACCACGACTGAGGGCCCATCTCTCAGAGACCTGAGTGACATTAGCTGCCACACACCCAATCAAGCTAGTCCTCCAGTCCTTAGCAGCTGCAAGGCCTGGAAAGCCTTCCAGCAAAGTCAGCTCAAATTGGTAAATATCTTCATCTACGTTAGTTGGCAGACCATTGGCAGAGGCCAGGAGGGCTCTGAGGACCAAGTTCCAGACTTTGCCACCAAAGCCAGCACTGCAGTTGCAAAGTCACCACCCACCAGCCAGAGACCCTAGAACTCAGATGCTCCCAGGGTCACTACCAACCCAGGAATAGACTTTTCATGTTCCTGCTTCTGGAAATAACACCTCACAAATGAAACCCAGGGGAGTGAATTTGATTGGCTAAACCAAGGTCATGTGCCTTCAACCAAACTTAAAGGAAGCCTGGCAAAGCAGGTACCCCCATTTTCCAAGTTAGGGAGAAACCCCCAAATACAGGAAGACATTTCCCAGGCTGGGCAGCCAACAATGCCCACTAATATCTTTTTCAATGTTGGCATCTTTCCTTCAGGCAGTATTTCCAAAGTGTGGTTTCTGACTCCTGACTCTTGCTGTTTTATTGCCAGGTTCCTTCCCTTAAAGAGTTAAACTCATTCACCAACACATCCAGCAAGGAGAACGCCTGCCTGCTGGGCCACAGCCACAAACGTCAAAGTTTCTACAAAACTAACAGGCAAACTATGATGGATACCTCATTGCTTCATTCTTTTTTGTGGGGGCAGGGGTTTCCTACATTTGTTTATTAGTTGCATTCTGCAAAACTCTGATACTTGACTTAGAACACATTTTATGATTTGTTTTGATGACTGATTTTTTCATTATTTTCCTTTTTGTAGCTTGTGCTAAAATTAGCTGGCATTGGTATTAGGATTAGACTCAGCAGTGTGTATCAGGAAAAACAGCAGACTTCAACTACATGGACACTTCCCTCTCTCCCACATAAAACAGGCCTACAGGCCAGTCCAGAGCGGGCATGGACCCAGCTCCTCCTGGACCAACCTCCCGCCACCCCAAGGGGCCTGGTCCCCACTGTCTCAGGTGGCAGCTGAGGCTCCAGCCCTCACACCCAGCAACAGAAGAGAGGGCAGGGAGAAGAAGGAACTACTACCTACCTTTACAACCCTTCTTGCATCTTTTTGGCTAAAATTCAGACCCAGGGGAGGCCAGACAATCAGTCCAGGTAAAAATCTGTCAGGATCTTACTGCTCAGGACTAAGGGAAAAATGGCTGCTGAGAGGCAGGCAACTATCTTCTCCACTGGCAAGGATAAAAATCCAAGTGTGTAAGAACAACCACCGTTGATGAAGATGACTCACACTTAGTAAACAGTTGTCAACTGTGGGCACTGTGTGAAGCACTTGATAGGATCACCAGGAGGCCGGCTGGCCTTGTGGGGGCTGAAGAGAGGACCGGAGGCCACACTGCTTTCTTACTTCATACCTTTGAACATTTCACTTGTTCATCCACTCAACAAAGTTTCTTTCAAAACACACATTACATTTTCACTGAGCTATCTCACATCTATGTTTGCCACTCCATGGGGGCAGATAGTGTATTCCCAGAGTACAGGCTCACAAGGTACTTGGTCTGTGGATGAGGGCTTGCACTGGCCTCTCTGTGCCAGGCTCTGTCTGCAATGGGCACTGAAAGCACAGGAACACAGGCCTGCCCTTTGGCACTCATGGCCATGGGCGGAGGTGTGGGCCCCCAGGGAACAAACAGAGCGGGCACCAGTGGGGAAGTTAGTGTGGCTAGATTGTACTTCATGAGTGACAAGCAACAAGGGAGAAGGTCCTTAAGGTACACCAGACTTAAAATTCTTCTCAAGTCTAAGGTGAGAAATTTAGCTTCATTTCTGAGGCAATAGGGAGCCACAGAAGCTTATAAGTGGTGACAGAACAGCCATCTAGATTGTTCTGGCCACCCTTGCAGGAGGGAGGTGTGGGGGGGGGGTGGACAAGACCTCCCCCAACCCCTGCCCCTGTGAGAGGTCTCCCAGGAGGCCAGACCAGCAAGAAAGGTACACAGTCCTCAAGGATGGCTGGGAGGCAGACAGGATGACACCTCGTTCAGAGGGGCAAAAAGGGAAGAAAGAGGTGAGCACCCAAGGCTAGGGAAATAGTGTGATGGCTGAGTGGCAGAAAGGGGAGTCTGAGGTTGGATGGGGACCAAAGCAAGGGGTTTAAAGAAAGGAAGGGGATGGGATGAGGTGAAAAAAATACAAAAGAGGCCCTGTGCTCTGGTGTGTGAGCCAGACAGATCCCCAGGGGAGTCTGGAAAGGGGGAGAAGGGGGCTGGAGAGTGGACGGCTGTTGGACGCCTGCAAGCTGTGCTCACAGCTCAGCAATGTCCCAGCCCTGCCAGGAGCTGGCCAGCCCCCGCTCCTCTTCAGCCTCCTCACCAACGCACCCCAGCCTGGCTCCAGCAGCAGGAACTCTGAAGCTGCCCCCCACCGAGGGGCCTCCCCTCCTCAGGACCCAGGCACACTCACACCTCCCCATCACCCTTCAGCCTTCCCCCAACAGCTGATAATGCACAGGCCCAAAGAAGGGGAGAAAATAAAGACATCGTCGGGGCTGAGCCAGTGAGAGTTAATGTCTGCAGTGCTCTGCCCCTGACAGGCCTAATGAGACACAGGTGGTCCCCTGGCTCCAGCCTATGCTGGTTCAATGCCCAGGATGGAGAGAGGGGGTTCTGCCGTTCCAGGGGGTGGGGCTGGGGCTGCTGGCTGGGGCCCAGCACATAACTCTGGCGGTTGCAGTCTGGAGCAGCAGACACCCAGCCACTCTGAGCTGAACTGGCAGCATGAAGGTACCGAGCCCCGGGTGGGGGACGCATGTGTGGGAGACGCATGCATGGGGGACAGAGCCCTTTGTGTGGAGAGAACCTTGATGAGAGAGGGGACCCTAAAGGCACCAGGGACTCACACGATCCAGCTGAAACTCCTAATCTGCAAGGGTGCTGAGCCTGTCCCAGGGAGTGGGGTTTCTTGGGAGGGAAAAAAAGGACCAGAGGGCAGGCAAAGGGTTTCTGGCGGGGGCTGCTGTGGGTGTTGGCAAGTGCAAAGAAAGCAGGAGGGCTCTGGGGCTGGAGGCATGGACTGTGTTGAGGTGACCCTGTTTTCCTTTCACCAGGCCTTCCTGGCCCTGCCGCTGCTCCTGCTGCTCTTCTCCATTCCCCACTGCGCCCCCCAGGTCTCTGGGATCCGGGGTGATGGTAAGCAGCCCATGGTTGCAAATGCAGCCTGGCCAAAGAGAGGCTGTCTGAGCCACATCCCTGGGAGTCAGCCAGCTCTGCAGGCCTGTCTCCTGTTCTATAAAATGGGGCAGGTGAATGATATGATCTTTGAGCGTCCCTCCTCTCCAAGAAATCTTGCAATGTCTTGTGACAGAGTATCCTGCTCTCAGGGATGGAGGCAAATTGTGGGGTGCCGAGGTGTAAGTTATGCCTTAGCATAACTCCTTGCCCTGCTCCACAGCTCTAGAGAAGTCTTGCCTTCAGCAGCCCCTGGACTGTGATGACATCTATGCTCAGGGCTACCAGGCAGATGGCGTGTACCTCATCTACCCTCTGGGCCCCAGCGTGCCTGTGCCTGTCTTCTGTGACATGACCACCGAGGGTGGGAAGTGGACGGTGAGTGGCAGGAGGGGGGGACAGATACCCAGTTCCAGTCCTAGTGTGTGGCCCAGCTTCAGCTCTGGGAGCCTCGGTTTCTTCATCTCTCATGTGGGGATAATAGTGCTGACAGCATAGTTTGTGAGCTGTTGAATTCTAGGTGCACATAAGCCTGTGCACGTAAGCCTCACAATAACCCTAGGAGAAAGGCACCCTCACAGACAAGGAACTGAAGCCCAAAGGGGTGAAGCACTTCATTCAACATCATACAGCCAGCACAGCGCTCCACCCTGGCATTTGAAAACCCTCCTACACCCCCCCAGCATGCAGCAGCTGACCCCTGGGGGGTGCCAGGGTGCGTCTTATTTTAGGTCCCCAGCTCAGCCCTTTAACAAACCACCTCAGCACCATAGCGTCCATACCTGAATGAGGCCCCTCCCTTCCCACTGGACCCTTGAAAACCCAGGCCTGTCATCTCTGCTCTAGGTTTTCCAGAAGAGATTCAATGGCTCAGTGAGTTTCTTCCGGGGCTGGAACGACTACAAGCTAGGCTTTGGCCGTGCAGACGGGGAGTACTGGCTGGGTAAGGCAGGGCCCAGGTAGGCTGGGGGCCACCCCAGAGCCAGGTCCTTACTGACCAGTTGCCCTGCCCTCCTCCCCAGGGCTGCAGAACCTGCACCTCCTGACATTGAAGCAGAAGTACGAACTGCGAGTGGACTTGGAGGACTTTGAGAACAACACAGCCTATGCCAAGTACATCGACTTCTCCATCTCGCCCAACGCGATCAGCGCTGAAGAGGATGGCTACACCCTCTACGTGGCAGGCTTTGAGGACGGCGGGGCAGGTAGCATCCTCCTAATAGACTAACAAGGGGATGTGGGGGGACAAGGCAGGGCTGGCACTGCTCTGTTGGTCCCAGATCCCCTTCAGGCCCCACCTTTCCTTTCCTGGCCCAGAAGGGTCATGGCTGGCTCCTCACCAGCTCAGGCCTCAGCCTGGGGAGAGGCCCCATCCACTCCACTCCAGGCAGCTCCATGGGGAGCAGCGGTTTTTCTTCACTGAAGAAGCACAACTACCCAGCATCTGGTGCAGGAAGGATACCCCATCCCACCAGGCTGACAAGTGATATCTCTGACAGCATCCCTCATCACTACTGTCACCCCGGGCCCACAAGCCCAGGGCTCGGCACCCTGCCTCAGTAGCCCCTCCCCTCTTCTTCTCCACCAGGTGACTCCCTGTCTTACCACAGCGGCCAGAAGTTCTCCACCTTTGACCGGGACCAGGACCTCGTCGTGCAGAACTGTGCTGCCCTCTCCTCAGGAGCCTTCTGGTTCCGAAGCTGCCACTTTGCCAACCTCAACGGCTTCTACCTGGGTGGCAGCCACCTCTCCTATGCCAACGGCATCAACTGGGCCCAGTGGAAGGGCTTCTACTACTCCCTTAAGCGCACTGAGATGAAAATACGCCGGGCCTGAGTGGCTGGCCCCATTAGGCCCCAATGCCCCCCTGGCTGCTCTGTCTCCACGAGCGCTCCCTCCCCTGTACCTGTCGCCCCCAACCCCCATGTCAGTTCTGCTGCTCTCTTGGCACCTGCTTCTCACAGGGGGCCTATGGCTCTAGCCCCAGCTGATCTCTAAGCCAGGCCTCTGCTCCCTTTGGCCTGAGGTCGTGCTGCCAACCGGCTTCCCAGGCCTCCTCGGAAAGGCACGGCCAGTCTGGACCTGGCTGGGCTCCACAAAACACCTAGTTGCCTCTGGCCCATACCAAAGGCTAAGGGCTAGAAGCTGCCCTCCCAGGCTGCAACCTCTCATGTTCCACCTTAGCCAGCTTCCTTACTGTGGGCTCATCTATCTGAGGCCACCCCAGCATGTTAGTCTGAGCTGGTGCAGTCTGATCACCACCCGGAATATGCCAGACCACCTGCATGTGGCTGCTATGACTACCCTCAGCAAGCCCCCAGCTGTTCCCAGAGTATGTCTCATCCTTTGCCTGCCTCCCATTGATGTAGTCTCTAGTGGTGAGCAGCCCCACCGCACTATCATACTCAGCTTCCCCTGCCCCCTGTCCCAGGCTCCCAACGCTCAAGGCCAAAACTGTATTTCATCACAGCTACGGCACACCACCCAAAAACAGCCAGTCAAGGTAGGCATAGATGTAAGGTCCTCCCATCTGCCCCAGGGTTGAGGTTTGACCATGTGAGGGGGTAGCAGACAACTTCTGTGGGACTGAAAGCAGGTAGGTAGTGGAGTCTCAATAAACCTCAGGACCTGAATGAACTTGGCTTTGGCTGTTGTGCACGCAAATGCATTTGTTTGGTCCTCAAAGGTGGGGACCTGTCTCCTGTATTTCGTTACTGACAGCTTATTGCCCTTTGCTCCAAAAAATACCTGGAGTTAGGCAATAGAGGAAAACTTGCATTTTGCAGGCCTCATTTTGATGGCAACAAGAATGACTAATAATAAAACTATATAATAAAAATATAATAATGAAAAGGATCGCCTGGAGAACAGGGATGTCCTGATCTTCTCATGGCTTGGTAGTGGCTCAGGTGGCTACTTAAGGCTGCAGGGTGGGTCTGAGATGAAGCTGCAGAATAATCCCAAGCTGAGCCTCCCCTGCTGGGCCCAAAGCTCCAGTCCTGGAGATCGCTCCTGCAGGCCTTGGGCTGGGTCTTCCCCTGGCAGCAAGGCCCAGGCCATGGGCCTCAGGGCTACTGGAGGTCAGGCAGGTCAGCCAGCAGCATCGGGGAATCCATCTGGATCTCACGCTGCAGAGACTCAATGTCGGAAGGATTCATGCCATGGCCCTCGAGCCAGTCAGCAAGCAGGGAGGCTGAGAGTGAGGCTGAGTCCGTCTGGCTGCAGGGGAAAGGGGGGCAGGGACCAATGAGCCTAGGCTGGCTCTTCCTGCCCCAGAAACCCACAGTCCCGTTCTGGAGGTTTGATCTAGACAAACTTACCCATCCTGTGGCCCGTCAGCCATGCCCATATCAAAAGACTGGTTCAGGAATTCCTCCAGGTCAAAGCCAACACCGTAGCCAGCCCCACTGCCCTTTGGAGTGCCTGAGAACACAGGGGGCAAGGGGTCCTCCACCTGTGGGTAGAACGGCCAGTTACAATGCAGGCACAACCAAGAGCAGGCAGAGTTCTTCAGGAATGCCCCTGTCCTGGTACAACTGGTGACTCTGCCTGGATACCTGTGGGTGACAGCACCAGCCTTGACAATCACCGAGCTCTGGCTGGGGTCCATCTCCAGGTCAGACACTTCCTAGATGCATCATACTTAACTCTTAACACCCTGCTCATCAGCATTATGCTCCTTCTATGAGCAAGGGGTACAAGTTCAGAGACCAGCTCTAAATGCTGCTTAGTTTTCATGAAACAAAACACACCAAAGCCTCTCTCATCTTCCTGTCCCCACTGAACAGCAAGGACTACCCAACCAATTTTTCCTGGGCCCATATCCAGGTGTCCTCATGGCCTGGGTTTCTCCTCTCACCTGAGACTTGGACAGCTGCTGGGTCACCAGGTTGACATCAGGTGACTCTGAGGTGGAGGGCTGAGTGGTCCCCCTAGGGTCCGGAGGGGTAGGGTCCGGAGGGGGTGGGCCAGACGGGAAATAAGGCAGAACACCCAGGGTGCTGGAACCAGGCATCCCAGGGGGTGGCATAAGTGACTGGGGAGTTAGGAGGCTGGAGGTGGTGGTGGTTTGGAGTGGAGCAGGGCCAGGAATGGACCCAGGAATGCCAGAAGGATGGGGAGCAGGGCCAGGGGTAGGGCAGGCAGACTGTGGTGCAGGACCCGGGGTGGAGCCTGCAGGTGGCAGTGGGTGTCGAGTGGGCTGAGCTACAGGGCCAGCGGGAGGACTGGTGGGTTGGGCTGGAGGAGGTGTTGTTACTAGGACAGGGGCTGGTGCAAGGGTGGGGGCTGGGGGCTGGGCCATTCGAGTCCAGCGTGCCAACAAGCTGCGATCATTGTCACTGAGCACCAGCCCAGCCAAGGGATCAGTGGAGGGGCCCCCAGAGGTCCCAGTCCCTCGCTCCTTGCGCTCCCGCTCCTGCCGCCTCTTTTCCCGCTCCTTTGCTCGCTCCTGCCGCCGCCGCCTCTTCTCTTCCCGCTCCCGCTGGCGCTCCTGGGCTGTCACTGGCTTCCGAGGCTCAGGTGCTTCTATGGGGGCACTGGGACCATCTGCAGGGAAGTTGGACAGAAAGAAGGTAAGAGCCTGTGGCCCTAAGCCCAGAGTCCCTCTTCTGCCTCCCCATTCCCAAGTCAGTAACTGCTTCTGCTCTAGGCACCTCTGAGCCGGCTCCGCAAAGACTTGAGCAGGGCAGCTTTGAGGGCCGCCTTGGTGTTGTCTGAGATGGCACCCTCCCTCTTCGGAGGGGTTGGTTCACTGGTCAGCGGGGCGAGTGGCTGCAGGGCCATATCAATGGTGTAAGGCACAGGGTCAGGGCACGGCAGTGGGGCTGGTGGAGGTGACTCCATGGCACAGTCCCCGCCAGAAGCCCAGGAACTGGGCATCTCAATGTCGGGGCAGCTAGGCTCACTGGCCACAGGCTGCAGAGAAGGCTGGAAGCGTATCTGCTGGCGAATGCCCTCGCGCCGTGCATGAAAGTCCTCAATCTCAGCCACAATGGCTTCCTTAATCCGCTCCCGGGTAAGGGCTTCTCGGTCAAAGGCAAAGTCAAAGGGCGGGGCACAGTCAGGCTCATCATCAGGGTCATGGTACTTGGCCAGGAAGGGGTGGCGAAGGGCAGCAGCTGCTGAGATACGGGCACTGGGCTCAAAACGCAGCATTCGCCCCAGCAATGAGAGGGCTTGGCGGTCAGCACCTGGGTACACTGTCTCCCACGGCACAGGCTGGCGTGGTGGCAGACTCTGGATATACGCCCGCACCCTTTCAGCCCCTACAGCCTGAATCACAGCTGGTGAGGGGGTGCCCAACACCATCATGATCAGCTGAAGCTGGTGCACATAGTTTTTGCCTGGGAAGAGCTGGCGCCTGGCCAGCATTTCACCGAAGATGCACCCCACAGACCACAGGTCAATAGCCTGCGTGTATTCGTGCAGTGAGAGCATGAGCTCAGGGGCACGGTACCAGCGTGTGGCCACATATTCAGTCATGAAGTACTGGTGCTCAGCAGGCGAGGTGCACAGGCCCCGTGCCATGCCAAAGTCACCGATCTTGAGTTCACAGTTCTCATTCACCAACAAGTTAGAGGGCTTGAGGTCACGGTGGATGACCTGAGCTGAGTGCATGTACTTGAGGCCCCGCAGCAGCTGGTAAAGGAAGTAGCGCACATGCTCCAATGTGAGAGGCTGTGAGGAGTGGATGATCTGGTGCAGGTCGCTTTCCATCAGGTCCAGGACCACATAACTAGAAGGGACAGGGGAGAGAGTCATGGGCTGTCTGGCCCTCTCTAGCCCGACCTCACCATGCCCTTCTGACCCCAGACACGTAGTGGCCTTACCATCAGACTCTGTAGGGGCCATGGCATGGTATGAAGATTCTAGAGTCTCTACAACTGTTCCATGAACTTAAGTGAAGTTAAATCCCTTTGTCTCCAGATCTATTTCCCCATCAGAGAAAAGATGAGGTTGAATTAAACCAGAGCTGACCAGTGAGTTTAGTTTGGGGTCTGTCTCCATTGTTTGGTAGTGGCTGCTTGAAAGAAAGACTATGATAAAAACTGTGGTATCTTGTCCATTTCCTTTTTTTTTTTTTTTAGATTTTATTTATTTTTAGAGAGAGGGGAAAGGAGGAAGAAAGAAAGGGAAACATCAATGTAAGAAACATCGATTGGTTGCCTCTCCTACATGCCCCAATTCAGATACTGAACCCACAACCCAGGCATGTGCACTGACCAGGTACTGAGCCAGCAACCTTTTGCTTTTCAGGACGACACTCAACTGAGCCACACTGGTCAGGGCACCTTGTCCATTTTCTGCAGAAAAGTGTCCTAGGGTGTAGTTATAGTATGAGTGTCCTACATTTACCACCCTACATGCTGACATTCTATGAAATTAGAACATCTGTACTCTTCCTTGTCCCTGGAAAAGTCCTAAGGGAGCACTGGTCCTGGAATTGTGGGAATCTTCCTGGCGTGTCTGACATTAGGTTCACCTGCCCTTCCAGCAACATGGTCCCAGCCTTCAGAAAAGTCCCAATTCTGCCTCCCTCTCCCAACCCCACTCCTTACACTGATTTGAACTCGCCATAGGGCACAGTGGGCCTCAGGATGTCCTTGATGGCGATGATATTGTCATGCTTGAAGTGTTTGAGGATCTTCAGCTCCCTGAGGGTCCGCTTGGCATTGGTCACCACATCAAAGGCATTAGGGATCTTCTTAATGGCCACCTGCTGGCCTGTGGAACAGAGAAAAGGAAGATACTATAAGGTACCTTGGGGAAGCTGTACAGTGGCACAAGGTCCCTATCAACACCTCCTGTCTAGAATGCAAACAACAACTACTATGTGCTGAGTGCCTGCTAGTGCCAAGCTCTGTGCTAAGCACTTAACACAGATTATCATATTTTTCCTTCACATCACCTCAGTTAAGAGATGAGGAAATCTTGTCTCAGGAATTCATTGGGGGATGCACAGCTAGTTAGTGGTAGGGTCTAGACTGTATAATGCCTGTACTCATTCTACCTCTTTCTCCCTCTCAGACCTCACCCATCCTATCACCAATCCCTTGTGCCAGTTTCTGGCTCAAGACACATTTCTCTTTTAGAAACCAAGGCTAGGATCTCCAATCTGGTCTAATTGGGATGGTCATTTTTCTAAGGAGGAAGTAGACTGATGTGCTCGCTGAACCACCATGCCAGCCAGAGTTTCTGAGAACTATGCCCAACTGGCACTCGGATGCCACGTAACCGAAGTTTGTTGACTTGAACCTGAATGTGCGTCCCAGTTTTCCTTCCTGGCTGTTTGAGATGGGGCAACTTTCTCACTCTCCAGAAACTGGTTCCCACACCTGTGCGCGGTACACCATAGGGAAGCTCACCCGTGAGACGACGGCGTGCAGAGGACACCACCCCGTAGGCTCCGTTGCCTATGGTCTCTATGATCTCGTACTCGTCCCCCACGTCAAAGGTCACATCGAAGGAGCGGGCTTTAAGCAGGGCCAGATTCTTGGCCGCTACAGAAGCAGCGGTATTGGCGGGTTCCGCCTTCACCGGCCCTGGGGGCTCCCCAGAGCCATCCTCGCCGTCTTCCTCCTTCAGGGGCTCGGCCATGGCGACTGTATGGAAACGCCGGTGAGGAAGGGCTCGCCCTGCCCAGGACCTCAGTTTCCCCTCTGTGAGGCTGCTGGAGAAAGGAATTTCCAAGTTCCCTAAGCCGGTAGGAGGCAACCTGATAGGGGACAAAAGAGAGTGGCTGGCACGTAGCAGATGTCCCACACCCGGGACTCTGAGCCCAGAGCTCAGGTCCGGGTGGAACGCAGGGTCGGAGGTAGGGGAGGTGCCACAAGGCTCGGTCCAGGAAGAAAGGGAGGGGCGAGGCACTTCGCTTTCCTCGGTCGAAACTCACTGAAACGCACCTCATCCGACGCCTCCTCGGGGCTTTCGGAAGCCCTCGGAGTTCCCGGCCTCCTGTCCGGATGCAGGGGGGATCCAAGAATCGCTAGTTCAACTCGTTCAAGGCCGCCGCCTCCACCTCAACATCCCGGGGTGCCCCAGGATCCCAATGCCCCGCCTCCCACGCTCACGTTCCTTCCAGTCTATGGCCAATCGCTGGGCTGTTTCTGCGGAGGTTCCCACCCCTTCTATTTGTTTCATCCAATCGGAACCCATCTGCTGAGAAAAAACGCGCATCTGCCGTCCTCGCCCCCGCGCGCCGCTGTCCAGCTCCAGTCGGGAGCCGCCCAAACTGCGCTCGTCTCTTTGGGAGGTGTGTGCTTTGGGGGTCAGCGCCGTCTTCCGACGCATGCGCGCTGTCAGCTCCAGGCACAGAGTGAATGGAAGGCTACACCCCCGTGCGTGCCGGCGTGCATCACTGTGTGCTCGGTCTCCGGCCACTCGCAGCTGGTCTCAGGAGCCCGCAAGGGCTGAGGCGGCCGGCCCCTCAGCGACTATCCTTCGACCTCAGCGACTATCCTTCGAGGCCGACTCTCCAAATCCCCCTCCTTTAGGCCCTCTTCCTTTATCAGCCCCCGTCGCTCAGATGCTAGTGCCCTGCCATTATCCCGATCGGCTCCGGGAGCCCGGCTCTGGAAATGCATCATCCGGGATAGAGGGTGATCCGTCACGTCCAAAAGCAGAGTTCCCAGTCTTCCGGGATCCTAGAGCTTCCAGCCAGAAGCCGTCACTGACTTCCGGTGACCGGTCATTCCCACACAGTTTCTGGCGTCTCTGAACCTAGGCTTGCTATTACCTGGCTCCCGGCGTGTTCCCTCCATGTGGTAGGTCCCTCAGCCTTGCGACGGCGCGCTTTTGAGAGGCGGTTGAGTTGAGGGGGTAGCGGTCAGGGCCATCCAGCCTCTAGCTGTCCGAGGTGCCCTCGGGTCACCTGAGCCCAGAGTGGGCAGAGCCAGCCCAGGAACCCAGGTGCCCTGACGCACTCCATAACCCGATAGTTGATTGGTTCGTGTAGGAAATGTTTATCAAGCACCATCCCTCTAAGGCTCAGTCAGAAGAGGCAGAGATGGACAAGGTGGGCCGTGTGAGCTGAGAAAAAGGTATGCTGCGGGGCGTTCGAGGTAGGGCTGAAAGGAAGGTTTTGGAACCGGAACTCCAAAGATAGGTGTGTTTTCACCAAATGAGAAAAGAAGGAAGGTTGATGAAACGTCGACTGACGGTATAAAGGTAGAGAATGCAGGTTCTGTGGGTTCTTACTCTGTCTGCCCTGAGTAATAACGATGGATGGAACTCAATATTTCCAGCCTGAGCGCCAGATTGAAAGTTTTTCCTCCAGTGGCAAACTAGTGGCGGGAGAGTGGACCCAGATAAGAAATGAATTTTGATAAGCATATACACTTAAATTTTTTCATTTTGTTTGTATTCCCCGCTGTTGTGTTTTTGTTTTTTAACTTTTTTACTAAAACGTACATACAGAAAATCCCACTGATTTTCACAAACTTAATACACAAGTGTACTGAATTCAGATGAAAAGAAAAAATTACCAGCCCTTCAGAAGCTCCTTTTCTAGTAGTGATAGTTTTTATAAACTCTTTTCTATGTATATTTTTGCACTGAGTTTTAAGAGTTTTATTGGGATACATACATTGTGATGGAAAAGTAGCTACTACATTACTACATTTCTAAAAACTCAACATAAGGAAAATATACTTCAGAGTATTAATATTAGGACAAATAGACAGACATAAAAGTAATATGGGCCTCCAGAGTTAAGGTTGAACTATAAAATTTATTCCTGGCCTTGGCTAGTGTGGCTCAGTTGGTAGGAGAGTCCTCCCACAATGGAAGGCTCACAGTTTGATTCCTGGTCAGGGCACATACCTATTTTGCCAGCCAATCCTGTCCCAGCATTACAATCCCTAGTCTGGGTATGTTTGGGAGGCAACCAATCGATGTTTCTCTCTCATATTGATGTTTCTCTTCCTTGCTCTCTAAAAGCAATGAAAAAATAATAATAAATGTCCTCAGGTGAGGATGAAAAAAATAAAATTTCCTTCTGAAATTTTGACAGCATAGCAAAAAGCCAAATTATCTGTTACGTGATTGAACATGAATGAAGAAGCTATACTGTGGGAAGTGAACATTTTCTATTACTGAGGTCTGAAAATACTTCTTTCGTGGCTTTTCTTTCAGTGATAAATGGACAACCTTCCCCACCTGTGAAGTACATGCAGTATAAGGCCTGTGGTGTCCTCCAGGGTACAGAGAAGGCATGCAAAAGGAGGACACAAAAGCACATCTTTTCTAGGAACAAGGTGGACAGCTGTGTGATGGTCCTGTCTGATCCAGGAATAAAACATAAAATATAAGAAGACACTCAAAAACTATATCCTTTAAACTCTCTTCAGTTAGGCTGTGTACAATAGTACAAGTCACAGACTTCAGCATTCTCTGGAAAAAACTCACTGATTATCATTTATTTTCAATCAACCATGAGCTGCTTTGGTCTACCCCTACTAGGCCCTGACTCTGTCCTGGAAGAGTCATCAATTACTTAACTATTGGGTTGGTCAAAAAGTCCATATAGTTTATAACATAAAATAAGAGACACATTTTTCATTTTCACCAATAACTTTATTGATTTGGATATTTTGAGTATGTTGGCTATCTCCCACATGATATAAGGTTGATTGTTCTCAATGTCTTGATTTGATTGCTATCAACTTCAACTGGTCTATCTGACCATGGAGCATCGTCCAACAAGAGTAATCTCCAGCATGAAACTTCAAAAACCACTTTTGACACTTTTGATCAGTCACAGCACTTTGTCCACACGCAGCGCAAATCTTTCTTTGTTGCATTTTTACCTTTCTTGAAATAATAAACCATAATATGCCAAGAATGTTGCTTATTTTCTCCCATCTTCAATATTAAAACGGCTGTACAAAAATTCACCAGTTTTGATAAGTTTTTTTAAATGCATGCTGGTATGACAGCTGCCACAATACAATCTAACAAAATTGTTTCAAATGAAATTAAAGGCAACTAAGTGCTACTAGAGCCATTTTACAGAAAAAAAACCAAACAAACTTTTGTGGCCAACCTAATGTATTACAGTGTTTGCTCATACTGCATTCTGTTTATGATGAACATAAACATTTGGGTTATTTCTACCTTTTGATTATTAAGAATGTGAGAAATGTTACGTCTTTATGATTTCAATTGACATTTTCTTAATGGTTAAAGATGTTGAGCATCTTTTTATGTGCTTATTGACCACTTATCTTTTAGGAAATGTCTATTCAAATCCTTTGTTTATTTTTAATTGCATTATTTGCCTTTTTATCACTGAGTCGAAAGAGTTCTTCATATATTCTGGTTATAAGCCCCTTATCAAATATATGATATACAAATATTTATTCCTATTCTGTGGGTTGTCTTTTCACTTTCTTATTTCTCTCTCTCTCTCTCTCTCTTTTTGTTTAGACATCAATGTGTGGTTGCCTCTCAGGTACCCTGCACTGGGGACCTGGCCTGCAATCCAGGCATTTGCCCTGACTGGGAATCACACAAGCAACCCTTTGGTATGTAGGCTGGCACTCAATCCACTGAGCCACACCAGCCAGGGTTCTTTTCATTTTCTTGATGGTATCATTTGAAGCACAAATGTTTTTAGCCCTGTCTGATACGGCTCAGTAGATCGAGTGCTGGCCTTTGAATCAGCGGATCACCAGCTTGCTTCCCATCCAGGGCACATGCCTGGATTGCAGGCCAGGTCCCCAGTGGGGGACATGTGAGAGGCAGCCACACATTGATGTTTCTCTCCCTCTCTTTCTCACACCCTTCCTCTCTCTAAAAATAAATAAATGAAATCTTTTTTTTAAGTTTTTAAAATTTAAGTTTTTGAGATGAATTCTACTTTGTTTTATATTTATCACTTGTGCTTTTGATGTCAAAACTAAGAAACCACCATTCATTTTTGCAGCTGCATAGTATCCCTTTGTGAGTGTAATCTGACCAACACACCACATGGGTAGACATTCAGATTCGTTGAAGTTTTTTCTATTGCAAACAATGCTGCAATAAATTATCTTGAATGCATCATTTTGCACACTGCAAATATATCTGCATGATAAATACCATGTGAGTATGCCACATTAAAGAATAATGCATTTGAATTTTAACAGTTAATGTCAAATTTCTATCCTTAGAAATTGTACCAGTTTAGACTCCCACTAGGAATGTTGGAGAATGATTCACACAGTGCTTTTTAAAACCATGGAATTATTTGCTTGTTAGCAATGGGAGATATCTCAAAGAAATCCTGATTTCTGGCTTCTTTCAGAAACCTGAGAGATCTGTCAATGTCAGACTTCCATTTCCACATAACAGCAACGGACTGCACCTGGGTCGCAGCCCTGCCCCTGGACAGGTGTGGGCGCTGCAGCCTCCCAGGCTCTACTGCTTCCTGGCACCTCTTGGGCACCATTTAGGGGTCAGATGCTGTTTATCACTGTACTTGGACCATTGTTTTCTACATGTTACTAAAGTTAGGGAGATGGAAGAGGCTGAGAGGAGGTGTGTCTCCAGAAAGAGAGAGAGAGAGATGGAGTATATCTCTTCGTGGTAGTGAAGACAACACAGGACTGTGTACACACATGTGGCACTGTGGGCTTATGTCTTCCTCGTGGGAGCCTCTGAAGATTTTTGGGTAGGGAAACACTGTTCAGAATTGCCTTCCTGAAACATATTTTTCACAAATAGGGTGGAGGGTTTACTTGAGGGAGAGAGACTGAAGGTAAGGAGGGGATTACTGTGACAGCCCAGGTGTTAGCCCTGATGGGGGTCTGGACTAGGCAGTGGCAGCAGGAATACAGAGCATGGGCCCTTGAAAGAGGTATGTGGAGGGAGGTGGTGGTGGTACCAAAGCATTTGGGTAGACAGTGGAGGTGTTGCCAAGATGACCCTGGGAAAGAACCAGGCTGGGCAGTGGGCAATGAGATCAGTAGTGGGTGCTTAGTCACATCATATCACATGGTGATCCCTGTCTCTGATCCAAGCCCCAAGGTCCTGATGAGTTTTCAAAAGCATCAGGGAGCTCCCGATGCCAGGGTCCTTCCAACGACCTCGGGGGAACCCTAGTTGTGGCAGTGTGCCCCCCTCTTTGTCCACAGTGCCAGCAAGGGCGGCAGGCCTCTCAAGGGACAGGCTTGGCCAGGGGAGGGACTATGCTGATTGGCCACACCTGAGGCACCTGTCTGCCTCTGGAAGGGGGAGGGGACTCCAG